TTGCGCATAATGATTAATTTTAATATGCATAGTTTGTTTTACTCATAAGCCCCCTTCACACTTCCTCCACCTCGGGTATGCTACTCCAAAACTCCGTCTTTTCCCCAGCGTGTTCGCGTAGTTTCCCTCTTTTTGTTATTATTTTATTATGTTTATATCAGGTGCTTATTCATTGTTTCTAATTCACAATTAATTTCTCTTCTCAAGTTCCAACTTAATTGTACATATTGTACATAGTCTGATATGAGTAAGAAAGCTGATCTCGGGCCTTCCATGGTTCGCGACCATCACTCAAAGCCATTGGAAGATGGGAGCTCTTACTGTAAGATGCCAGTTGCCACCGCTGAACAAATAACTATAGCTGCGATAGTTGCAAAGCCCATCAATGATGAACGACAAAGACAGCAGGTTCTCCAGGTGAGCTCCTGATGTTCACTTTTATCTGGACAGCTCCAAGAACTTACGAGATGCTCTGAAGAGAGAGCTTTTATCGCTCTACATGATGCTTCTGGTGACATCGATAAGGCTGTGGAATTTCTACTGGAGGGACATGAGGATACGTGGTTTAGTACAAGCAAAAGAGCCAAAGTAAAATCGACTCAAAAGCAGGTAAAGCCCACTAAACCAGAAGAACAAAGTAATCAAAAGGGGGAGGAAGATAAAAGAAAAGAAAAACAGGAACCGATTGCTAGAGATCGGATGAAAACTCCCAAGGCATGTTTCTTATTGCTTAATCGAATTTAGCAGTCAGGCGTGGAGGCTGGTATTGATCGAAGGCGGATTAAGAATCAAAGTGGATCTATTCGCAGGCGAGAAAATGTGGCAAGTCTAGATGCCACAGAAGCACCAACCAGGCCATTAAGATCGGACAGGATCAAAACTAACCAGTTTACTGGTCGTGGAAAGTCTCAGTCGCAAAATTCCAGTATCCTGGATAATGGAGACCCCTCCGGTAAGCGAGACTCGTGGTTCTACCTAATTTCTGCATGCGTACCTCCGTCACGTTTGCAATTTTATATCATTTTCTTAATGCCATTTCCACTAAACTTTCACTATTCCTCTAATTTAGCTTTTCGACTTTCAGGTTGGGACCCAGCTTCTGACTATGGGGAATGGACTGGTGAAGCAATTGAAATAATTAATTCGAATGCTTCGATTGCCTTGAATCTCAACGATGCCCGCGGAAGTTGTCTTGATTTGGTAAATGGTGGTGAAACTCTTAACTCCGAGAACGCGTAAGTTCCTAACGAAGCTGCTTTTCGCAACTATCATCCATATGATTTTTGACAATTTTATTGTATTCCAGAGAGGATTTCGTTGAAGCTAACAAAAGTAGAGCTAATTCCGGATCT